TGTACAGTACCCTACATGTACATGTATCTGTCCAATGCATGTACAGTACATGAACATAAGGGGCTGATGATATGTAATGTAGTATTTGAAAGTTGTTTGCTTCAAATATAAGACAGGGAACTTTTTGCACATCTGAATGGTTGAATCTGAAAATTGTCCAATATGGGTACATGTACATGTACAGTGTAGCGGTACTGTATACATGTACATACATACCGGTAAATGTACATGTACCGTACATGCATGTTTATGTAAAGAAACTGTTTCAGTACATTTATCATACCCGTAACACGGCCGTTTCACAATAGTGCGCCACCAAGAGTTTGCAATGCGTTGGCCAATCATAATGCACGAAAGTTGTCGACCCAAAGCCCGTTTAGAAAGGGTCAACAAATTTTGAGCGTTGTGATTGGCCAACGCGTTGCAAACTCTTGGCGGCGCCCTGTTTTGAAACAGCTGTATTATTTACGGTAGCTGCTCATTAAACTTCAACATATACAGAAAGTACCGATATGTGTGTGTATACATGTACAGAGCTCCAAATAAGAAAACACACTTTTTATTTTCTTCCTAATGTGTTTTGCCCAATTTACACAACCATGACAACTTGAACATTGTATTTGCATTTCATGCTAATTAAACCATAATCATCTGTTTGCTGGAAACAAAATCATGCAAAATCAAAGTGCCCTCAAACTGTAAACCTACTCCAATATCCTTGTGATGCATTATCAAAAAACCAAACCAAGCAAAATAAAACAAAAAAACAAAACTCCCCCTTCCCTGTGCTGTTTTGGATTTTCCATCGACGTGTTACTGTCATTTTGACTCCAGTTTCTGGAAACCAGACATACATGTACATGTAATGCCTGTACAATTCTTGGCAAAATGTCCAAACTCTGAAGACAGGTGGGAAAAATGTGAACTTTAACCACTGGCAGATGATGGAATGTGAATGTGATTTACGATAGTGTTAACTCTTTTAAATGATTTAATGGAAACTTGAAAGTTAACCAAAAAAAAAAACCATACATGTTATTGAACAGATGAACTAAGAAAGGGAACGTTGAGTTGCATACAATGGACAGGTACATGTACCAGTAGGTTAATTCAGAAAGTCCCCTTGGCTGGTGGTTAACTTTATAAAGCAACACAAGCAGTACATTCAAAATGGAATCGTTTTTCACTATCACGTATATGTAAAGAATCATCTTAGTGTTTTGGTTTATATGGACATGTATGTAGCCACAAATTGTAAATGTTTTTGGTAGTTATTTAAAGTTACCTGTTAAATGCTTTTCCTCTGAAGGAGAAAAAACAGCAGCACTTACAGGTGCATCTGCTAAACTTATTTCACATTCAGTCACATGTGAAGTGAAAACAACAGCTGGTGTTGATGGCTGAAAGCTTTCTTAAATTCAACAGGTTCAAAAGTTCAAAATCTGTGTGTGTGATTTCTAAGTATTGTAAGTGTGGCTTTTTTTGTGAAATGTATTTTACATTCATTTAATATACATACAGCAGTACAGTACATAATCCATTCTCTGCTGATATACCGCTGCATGTAAATAAAATGTTTCTAACAAAATAAAGAGCATTTTCTGTGAATCCCCAATTTCTTGATTTCTTATGTTTTGGTTTGGTTTTACACTCCTTTTATAATAAAGTCCCGTTTGATAACAAAGCATTTGGTAAATAATCTTGTCCCTGCAACGTTGTTGTACACATGTACATGTAGCAAGAGTTAACTGTACATGCACTGTACAGTATGTTTTACCCTACATATACATGTACTTCCATGTCGCAGTTCAGGTTGCTGCTGTCTGTACTTCAGAATAGAATGCAGATAAATACACCTACCAGTACAAGGAGAGCTACCATAACACATTTTCTTTTCAAGTTTTGGGCATAGGGATGAAGGAATGTTGTGTACATGTATGTGTGTATATTTTTCCATGAAAAAATATTTCTTGTGTGTTTAATAATTCTCACAAGTACTAGTACATGTAAAAAATCACAAGTTTACGATACAAAACCTTTCATTTTCTACGAGTATACTCGTAATGGCAGAATCCAGTGCACCTGTCACTACATGTACACGTAAGAGTATACTCATCAGCAGTCAAGTTTGTAATAAGTTCTTAATGTGAATCATAACTGGATGAAGTAATTTTTAAGTTACATGTAAGTTCTTTTAAGAAATTTGCATGTATCATGACAAAAATTTGTTGTACTCACTGCTATGCCCATAAAACGTAATTATGGGAGGGGGATTTGTATGCCACCGGAAATAAATAGTAAAGAGTAACGACATTTAAGATGAAAGCAAAGACTCACAGTTTGCCCCCCAAAAAACCATGGTACATGTATTTTGCAAATTGCAACACACTGTGTAGTGTGAAGGATAAGACCTACATGTACATGTACCAGCAAGTACCGGTATACATGTAAGTGTACACACACAGCAACTTCATGTGCAGTGCATACCGGTAGAAGCAAAAGTCAACTTTTTGAAAAAGTAGGGGGACTGGTTTGCCAATTTATCCACGTTTTCATGATCAAAAGCACTTGTATGGCAATGGTTTACCGGTACCTTGTTTGATACGAGGATGTCCACGTTGCCTACATGTCGATGTAGGAAAAAGGCCTTCTCCACATTGCTTGATTGTCTAGCATGTCAAGAGTGCTTCTGTTGTCTTCTGTGCTGCATTCACTTTTTCAAGTTCTCCAGTCCAGGAAACTCATTTTTGTCCCTGTACGCCAGCAATGCACCTTAAGCTAAGGTCATGCCATGTTTTTCTTTGCCAAATCAGGTGGGAAAAATAGATGTAACAGCACTCAAGATATTAATTCTGCAACTGATGTCTTCCTACGGTACCAGTACTTGTACATCCAGCGGTGGCTCTGTGACATCTTGTGCATTGTATATCATATTGTACATGTATATGTATGCTTACATACACAAAAGCTGCTGTACACACATGTGTGATGTACATGTACATCACACATGTACAGGTACATCACACATGTACATGCACATCACACATGTACATCACACATGTACATGTACCAGTGTTAAGAATACAGTACTCTACATTTATGAACTGTATTGCTGGTATACATGTGGGACTGGTTGTTGGCAAGTATCCTGACTTCACATTCGTGTGTCTTTTCCACAGTTTACCCAAGCACTGAGTGTGTCCACTTTTGGGGGATTGGGGGATAAAACTAAAATTTTACTTGTAAAGTTAAATGTCCATGTACATGTACATGTAAGTACACAGTGGCAGTACTGAGAAAGAAGTACATATACAACACATGTAGGTTAAATGTCTACATGTTCATTCTCAAAGCTGTGAAACTTGCCAATATTAACTGAAACATTCCATAACAGCTGTTGCTGATGATATTCGGTAAATTTAGGACTGCAGACTGTTGGAAATTTGCATAATTCACATGACCATTTACAAAATGCTTGACATTTCTGCTTTAGACAGTTTTGTTATGAACAGAAAATGCTGTTTGGTTGTTGTACACTGTTAGAATTGGCCACATCAGTAGTTTCCATTCACGTATAATTTACATGTACACTTGTTTCATTTCTTTACAGCGGTGACATTCACAGTGTCTTCAACATCCTGGTCCGTCAGTTCATGGCGGACATCCAGGAGCTGGCTCCCACGCACCCCAGTGACCCTCCCAACCATGCCAGCCCGCCGTGCTCACCAGCTGCGCCGAGTCCCCTTATGGAGTTCCTCTTGCATGGCCGGGGCTGGCTGGTCCTGAATGCGTTGTGCAACCTCTCAAGCCAGGTGCGTGTGATACCGGTATCTTACAGTGTATGAATAATGAATAGTTATGAGTGAAATGGTAATAATTCATTTGCCGACAGGTTGAATGTTTACACCATGAGGCAAAGCTTGGTGAAATGGAACACACACATACATTCTGTCTCCGAATGAAAGTTTAATGTCTTTGAATTAGAAGCACAACCATAACTTTTGAGTTGGGAAATTTCTTTATCTGACAAAAGGCAAAATGGTTTCATGTGTTTCATGTTTTTGGCATAGCCCAAAATGTTGTGTGTTCGTATGGAGAGCCATCACCATGTACATGTACATGTACCTGTGCATGGAGCAGCATGATTTTTTGTGTGTAAACAGCCATGGCTGTGCCTGCTGTATATGCGAGTGTCCACCCTTGATTGTACTAAATACATGGACATGTACAAGCAATTTGTGACACAGGATTTGTTACCTACTGTATTATTCAGGTGACTGAGTTTTGTTCAGGTTGTATACATCAATTCAGTCACCCCACTATGCCTATTTGTATAGTGGCTTTTGAGTATGGCCCCACAGTTCATATACTTGAAACCTCTCTTGGTGCTTTCACAAGCTTTCTCGGTGGTTCCTATTCTGGCTTCCGAGTTGCAGGCTACTTGTGATCCCTTTGCCATTCATTTACACAATGTGTGAAAGAGCACACAGTGCTCAACCTTACTGTAGTTTTATCTAGGGCCAAGGCTTTTTACTTGAAACTCAAAGCATGGACCCAAAGTCACTGGTGGTGATGGCACAGCATGTATTACCATTTGTAAGCACCATCCTAAGGCAAACAAATCTGTACAGTGCTGTTCAGATCGTGTTTACACATCACATCACCATAAAAAGCCTATCAAAATGAGGGGAAGCTAGCAACCATTCAATATGCTAATGCCTTGAGTCTGTTGATGTAAACTTAAGTTCAGGCTGTTTTGACCTTTTGAACTTTAAGCAACATATTTCATAATGTCAATATTTTAAAGGTGTCAAAGTTTCCGGGCAGTTTTGACTTCCATTTAAAACATCCTGGGTTCCAGGCAATATCAACCATTGTTTGACAAGTGATCCTCGCTTGAACACGTCCCTTCCTAAGGCAGCCAATTTGATGATGCTGCACTTTAGCACAGAATTGTTTTAAGTGTAGAGAGCATTTCTTAAGTAAAAAAACAGGCAACCAGTCAAGTATGCCCCACAGTTTACTTCAGTATTAGCTGGTACCCGTACATGTAGTGTACCGGTACCTTGTCTATCTGCCTCGAGCAGAAGCACCCCATCATTGGTTTGGTGGGGGGGTTTTCATTTTGTTGGTATTCCGTAATGCGTGCATTTCATAGTCGTTTGTGAACCAGTGAAGTACAGTGCTGACCAAAGGAGCCTGCGATGCGAGGAAAATCGTGCCCTCTCTTGGTCTACATGTACACGTACGGTAGCTCAGGGCGCATGGCCTGAGCAGCTTCATTAAAGTGGACTATGGGTGATATATGGCCCTGGGCATGCATACATGTATGTACGGTACATGTACAGCACTAATGTCGGCTCCTGTTTGTTTGAGAGTAAACATGTGAGTGCTATGCTCACCTGATGAAATGTGTTTGTCCTGCAGCAGGTGTACATGCTGTAACCCTTGATGGTTTTAAGAGAATTTTTATTTTGATAAGATGGGCAAATGACCTTTGTAGTTGTATACTACTACATATATCAAATATACGCAGTGGTACGTGTACTTTTAACTACCCATATGTATATTTGGTATACTTGTATAAAGTTTCGTAGCATTGGTATTTGGTAATATAAATAATACATTTATCATTACATGAAGTGTCCATTTATTTAAGTATACATTTTGCATTTTGGATGCCATTGCCAAGTCAATGAACTTTTCATTAAGCACTTGTGTTTATTCTTTTTGCACAAATTCAGAGAGTGGACATATCCAAAATTCTTCCGCTTCCTTTCCCCCCCCCCTCAACTTCAGGCACTTGACTTCAGCCCTGACTTTGTGTGTCTCTTGGTCCAGTTCATCGAGGAGGCTATGTATTTGCCTGTTCGTGGCAGTCATAAAGGTAGGCACTAAAAATATTTATGGTGCACAGTATCTAACCGTGTCTGTCCTTCAAAGGTGCTGGTACATTATCCCCGCTTGTTGGGCTCATGACATCTGAACATTGCAGAGACCATGTCAACTCCCTGGGGAGTACCGGGTATGTTTACCAGCTCGATGCTGCCATATCAGGTGCAAAGGGCTAAACATAATAACCATACCCACTCCTGACTGGAGAGAGGCATGTACAGTACATGGGGGCATAACTTAAAGCTACATATACTTGCCCCAAATACATGTCGCCACCAGCTGGATTCGAACCACCAACCCTATGATCAGGAACTACTAACCCTAACTGCTAGGCCTCATGTCCCCACACATGTAGGTCTGCTCTGTTCTGGTATGTGATTTTCCCTATTGTATTACATGAATTGATGCAGAGGCAACCTGTATAAATGTGTCATACGTGACCAGATTTTCATGCCTGACACATGGATTTCGTTAGGGGAGGGACAAGTAAGGGGGCGTCATATCCCTTCTCCCTGGAACAGATGTAAAAAAACAGAGAGAAATGACAAAGGAACGAGAAAAGGAGATGAAAATCACTGTTGGCTTGAAAATACCTCAGATACACGCAGTTATTACTCCCCTCCCACCTGATGGGTTGTACGTCACTGCAGAGTGCCTCGCCCCTGCCCCCACCCAGGAAAGAGCTTTTTCCCTTTCGGTCAACAGGTCTATGGTCTGATATAATCGTAGCAAATGGCAAAGTAACCTGTGATTGCTAGAAATTGCCAGTTGCCTGTGGCCTTGTGCATGTTGAGTTGAAAGACTAACTGCCTGTGTACACGAACCTAGCGTACATGTACATTATACATGTACTGTTCATGCGTTTGTACGGGCTGAGCGTTTTCCTTTCCCCTCTGTGTATTTTCACGCATTCTTTTCCTTTTTCCGTTTGTCATGCCTGAACTATTTTAGCATTTGGGACCAGAAGTACATGTACATATATCAAATACGTCTTTGTCACAAAAACAGGTTGACTTTTGGGATTATCATTTATCATGTTTTGTAAGAGCACAAGAGTTGAACTAAGTGGTTGCGGTCGCCTTGCATTCTGAAGGCAGTTGGTATTTGGGCTTAGATTTGCATCAGTTAGCAAAGGAAAAATCTTCACATTTTCTGTCTCAAAAAGAGTATACTGTACATGTATTTCAAACTCCCATGAAAAAGGACATGTACTTGCAATTTTTTTGACTTGAGTAGTGAATGCAAATTTAAATTCAGGAGTCTCGACAAAGAGTTCTCGTAGTGATAAACATTAGGGTTTACAATGACTTTAGCAGTAGTGTGTCTTTTCATTTTCAACTCAGGTGACCATAGTTCATCATTTATCACCAAACTTTCTGCTTGGGTTATACAGTAATTTCCCAGAAATACCGGTAGTCTTTTGTCATTCATTAAAAGTGTAGAAGTGTTTCTCCGCACATTGTGCTCTGAGCACAGACATAACTGAATAAAGTACCGGTAACTACCCGGTACCTGTGCGTAAATGTATTGTACGAGTTCTGTATGTTATTCCACATGTTTTTTTTGCTGGCAGGCATACATGTACACATCTTGGGTTCCAAACTGCTGATGCATACACATAGATTCAGTTGCATACACGTACCGGAAGATTCAAATAAATAGGGATATGAGAGGACGAATTCAACATTCTGTATCTTCCCTGCTCAAAAGTGCTGTTGGTTGCTGCCCTGTGGTGATTTGTTACAATAGGCCAAATACTGTTGTAAGTTCATTGGTCCAATTGCTGCATGCAGAGGTACATGTACATGTACCGGTACATACATGTACATGTACATGTACATCTCCACAGGTACATGTACATGTATCTTAATCCTGTTTTACTTTAGAACAAGAAATCATAACGTACAATTGTACAAAAAAACCCCCAAAACACACACATTAAAACATGGCTTCTTGATAATTACCCTACAAACATTGAAAATAAGTTTATGACTTCAGTTTCACACTTGAATCTGCATGTGTGCTCTGCCTCATGAATCTAATCCGAGGAAAGGGAAGAACAAGTTCACTGTGCCAAGGGTCAGAGGCAATAGGCATCGGCAAAGTCCTCTGAGCAGTTGTCCGGTTGTGTTTGATACCGGTACCAATGTTTCTGAAGCAGTGCTTATCTGTTTGAGGGTTTGCACTTCACATGTGGGTCAGCTGTATTCATATCTTGAGCACACAAAGCCACTTGGGGGTGTCCAATGCAGAGTTAGTGTTTGCAGCAGACCCTTGTTGATAAATTAGAGGTCATTTGCTAGATATTATTTGTTGATAATGAATGGAAGATATGTATTTAAGGACGCACATTGGCAGGTTGCAATGCACGCAAAGATTGGAATGTTTCAAGAGGGTTGTTTCTTGCAAAGAACCAGGAGCAAAAGTGTGAAAACTTCCATAAAGTCTGCTATGTCTCTTTTTCAGTGAAAAGGAAAGATTTTCTTGGTAAAAATTTCAAATCAAATCGATGCTGTTTGGTTTTAATGTATGCTGTGTTATTAAGTTAAATCAGTACTTTAAACCTACATGTAATTTGACTAAGTTATAATAAATTTCAGGCAAAAAGTTCAGAGGACAACAGTACGCATACATGTACATGTACATGTACATGTATACATGTGTTTTGCTGAGGCAGTTAAATGCACAACTTGAGGAACTTTGCATATTAATTACATTGTAAATTACATTTACAATTACAATTAATTTATTAGTGACATAAATAGGTCTATGTACCGGTATCATTGTTTTCATTGATACTTCAGCTTTTGAATGTGGTTCATGTACGTAGTTAAATTCTTGAGCGGAAATATGTTTTTATGAGAAATTTTTGGCTTCTATCAAAAAGTTATTTGGAATCTTCACCATTGTAGGTACCGGTACACGTATTTAAGTGTTGAAACCTTTCGTTGTTTTGGTCTGTTCTCGTTAATTTTTTAACTCATTAAAATCAAAAGGCAAGTAAGTTTGAAGATGTAGAGATGTTCATTACTTTTTTTCTCCTGATCTTCCCAGATCACCGTGTCAATATTCCAAGGCTTGATGCCTGCATCCTGAAGAGGAACTTTTCCAAGAAGAGTCTCATGTCTATTGGCTTTGCCAATTCACGCAGGTCAACGTTCAGGGGCCATACCCTTTCCAACCCACCATCTCCTGTCAGGTTTCAGTCTTACCAGGGAAGCCCTCTATCCTGCAGGAGGAGCAGCAAGGATGCCACGGATTCTTCTGACTCGGACAGTGGGACCAAGACAGGCGATCGTAAATCCTCAAAGAGGTCGGGCAGTGATTCAACGCCGAGGCATGTCTACTCAAAGCAGGCGCCCCTGCCCAAGGCAGCCCTCTTAGGTGAAGTGCGAATCGTGGACTGGAAACTGAGCGTAGAGGACAGCTGTAGCAATGTGAGCAGCGTCGACGTCGACGCCTTTGACCTCTGCCTTGTGCTGCTGTCCCTCTTAGAAAGGCTTTGTACCAGCGAGGTCATGCACTCCAGCAAGAGGAATACCCTAGCCCTTTTCCTGGCTCCTAAGCTCACCCACCTGCTGACCATTATGAATAGTCATGCTTCTGAAGCCAAGACTAAGGAGCTGAGTGGTTTGGAGTCGCAGAGCCACAGGTGGTCAGAGGATCTGATTTGCTCGCTGCAGAGAATAGTGTTGCGCATCGTGGTCAGCCTCTGCATGTACAGCTGCACTCAGCATTACGAAGCACCCAAACTGGCGTCTAACGGTATACTGTTCACGCTGCTGCAGTTGGTCAAGACTGTCAGGCAAAAGACAGAGAAACCCACAGGGGTTGTGGATGTGCAAACAGAGGGTTCAGCGGCCACCAAAACATCTAATGCTGGTTCAACTGACAATCATGAAGCACAGCCTGACGTCAATGGTGGCAGTCCCCATAATGGACCGCATGCATTGCGGCCGGATGCATGGTCGCAGTTGACTCTGAACAATTTGCACTATGTTGGTGAAATACTGCTTGGTGTTGTCTTACTGCTGATTGGTGTCATGCACAGCTGTTGCGACAATCAGATTGTGGTCACCCATGCCATGGCACTGCTGAACGAGTTTGCCACGAATGCCGGCTATACTGTCACTGAGTCTTTTCTCACCTTTGTGGATGAGAAGATAAGACATCTTGGGGAAGACGCTCAGGAGTCACAGAAACTTAAAGACTGCATCATCAGCCTCTTATGCAGTTTGGCCAAACTGCTTATAGCTACCAAGAGAGCTAAACTGGAGTATGTCCATAAATTTCAGTGTTTAAAACGAACCCACAATACCTGTGACTATACACACTACACCCACCACCACCACAGCATGTTCGGCATCTCACATAGTGCCTATGAGGATGAAAGGCTGCTACATCCTCGGCCCAAGAGCCTTTCCAAGGTAGGTGCTGACAACAGCTTGTTTAGAGCTCGGCGCTCCAAATGCTGCATTGCAGTCATCGTGGAGATGCTGTTGGGACTTCTGGAGAAGGTGCATTACAAGGGTACGACTGTGCGGATCCTGTTTGCACTTGAGCAGGGTGGTGTCTGCTGCTGTCTTCTGCCCAAGCTCATCATTTCCATCTTCCTGAGAAGCCTCAAGGAACAGCCGGTTGCCATGAGGAGCTACCTCCTCAGTGTCTTGAGCAAGCTGATCCTTGAGCAGCTCGGAGGTGGCGAGCGATCGGAAGGAGTTGTGCAGGGTATCTGTGAGGAGTGCTCCAGCCAGGATCTCCGCTCCCTTTCTCCAACGGTGACAGGGACAAAAATCGCTGACCATTACATGTCTAGTGACAGTGCCATCTGCAGTGACGGGAGCCAGCATGATGAGGACATCCGGTCAGTCAGATGGAGGGTGCTGGAAATGTACACACCACTGCTTATGAGTCACGATGAAGTCCTTAGCCAGCAGATTTCAGGCCATCTTCTCCATCTTGTGAGGCACAGTAATATGGTTGTCAAGGAGGAACTGTACTTCAATGTCATCCTATCATGTTTCCGACATAGCAACGCTGACGCCATTGACGGCCTGTCAAATCTTCCCTGTTTCACATCACCACCTGTACTCGAGCACATCTTCTGTGCCCTTCCATATCTCTTAAATACACTTTCAGCACAAGTGGAGTTTCTACATGAAGGGGGTTTGACACAGCTTATGCAACTCCTGGACATGCATGCCACTCGGTTGCACGTACTTAGAGTGTTTGAGGTACTAATATTGTCTGAGGAGAGCCAAGGTGCCTTCCTCAAGAACCGTTGTCGGTCGGACACCAGAGATAGTGCAGTTAGCACAGACACGCTGAGTGAAAGTGGGGAAACCTGCAATGTTGTCCAAGACTTTGTGAAAATTGTCTGCACCGTATTGCCGTACAAACTGCCTGAGCTAAAGAAAGCCGTCAGCACTCCAGCAGATAGTAACGAGTCAGACGAGGACTGGTTACAGTCCTGCGAAGTTATTGAGGATCCCATCGAACGGGTTTACCGCAGCACTCAGAACAGAAGCCTTATTGAGGAAGGCAAAGTGGCCTTTGCAGAGAGTCTGGATACTATCAAAGAAGTTGAGAGCAGTCAAGAGAATGGTGACAGCTTTGAGGAGATGCTGCTGATGCCCGATCAGCTCAGCAAGCTGAGTGAAACGACCCTGGCCAAGGCCGCCGATGTCTGGCGGATCAATGGGAACTTGCTCCTCCAAAGCGCCAGCTACAAGCTGCAGTTCCTCCAGCAGGAGGGGGACATCTTGGCCATGTTGCTCCTCAAAGAAGCCCTGGTGGGTCTGGCCAAGACATGGAAGATGTGTGAAGGGCTCCCTGTCACCTGGTCCCCCTCCAGAGACAGCGTGACAAGGCTACGCACTGAATCCGAGTACAAGGCAGCTCCAGTGAATGTGTTTCAGGTCATATTGGATATCGCTGGGTCGCTGCTCAGGATCTGTCTGACACTGCAAGGAAGAGTGGAGGTAAGATTAGCATCATTAATTCCATTATCTCTCAGTCCAGCCCTGCATTTATGTGCTATTCAAAATCTTTTTCTCATCAAAGGTATTGGCCTCATTGATTGTAAACATGCTGTTGCACTGAGTGGAGGGTGGCCTCACGAGTTCTCTCAATATTCCTAATCTTCCATTCCAGGGTCAAGTCATACCCAAATTCCTTGAGAACTGCAAGGGGATTTTGAAACAGTCTGGGATTCTGCAGTCAGCATTGGGAAGGCCTGTTGCTGAGATGCTCCTAAAGGTTGCCCAGATGCAGGTGTATGTCCATCCTGGGACCCATGGCTACAGCATCACCACCAAGGACTATGTAAGTTTTTTGTGGAGCCATCATATCTGAACAACTCATCAACGCTGATTCCCCAGTGACCATTTTCTTCTCTTTTGGCTTGAAGTATTGCTTCAAATATGCACACTGAGGGTTGTTAGCCCATGCTCTGCTTTTTTTTCTTGCCTGATACTAGGAAACCACAGTTTATCCCGCTTCTGCCACCATCATGTGTGTGACCACGGTTCAGTACTCTCTCAGGCCTCGTGTTTTGACAGAGTATCATACCAGTGCAGAGACCTTATCACATATGGTGTGAAAATGTTTGGTTGATATTTCTTTCAGCCGGATAGTACATGTAGTGGAGAAGACATGCTGCATTGGAATCCGGAGGAGTTGCAAGAAGCTGTCTCCAGTGACAGCCAAAGTGAAGTTAGTGATATGTTGAGCACTGAGGAAGGGTATGAGGCTGACAGTGAGAGGGAGAAAGAAGGCATTCATTCCGGTAAAATAGTTTAAAAGTTTTGGTTGATTGAATTTGTAGGTGTTTAAGAGTGTCATACATACAGTTGTCCATACATTTTCAGGATACTGAATATGATTTAAGCATACTTTCTGCATTATTGTACTGATGTACCTGGCAGCAACAGTTCAGATTTTCCCTTACCAAACAGTTATCTTTGCTGCTTCACCATTGTAGGGACTTGCCATTGAAATGTGCGCTTGGAGCACATAAGCATCTGAAGGATATTTATGAAGTTAAGATGCAATACAGTGGTGGTCTATCACACATGTGCCTTAAGTGATCATTTACAGAACCGTTTTTAGAGTAACATTAACATTTCCAAGAGTCACTGCAAAGCTGTTCAAAGTCACCTTTTGTGGTCTCCATTCAGTCGAGTGCGGTTTTTAAAGGTTAGTATTTAAAAGGCCAACATGTAGACTCTAGTACTGATGCCCTTAACTGTGACTGTCCATGCTAGGTGACAGCCAAGGTGAGGTGGATCTTGACCGGGCGGAGTTGACGATGAGCCAGCACACCCTCCTGCACCCTCAGGTCTGCTTGCTGCTGCTGGAGCTGCTGGAAGGCACCAACAATAATGAAGACAGCGATGCCAGGGAGTTTCCGGCTGAGGTGGCCTGCTACAGCATCAAGCAGATTATTGCCATCGCCCGCAGCAGCCAGGCCAGCCAGAACAGCCTGTACCACTGCGGGCTGCCTAAGGTGACGTTGCAGAACTACCGCAGGACAGTGTCGTCAGGTGAGGGTGCTTGTGAGGTTTTGTCAAATTCCCCGCTGGTTTTGTACATTATGATGGTCTACCCACAATGATAGATGAACACCCAGATTTGTAGTTGAGAACAGTACAAAACCTGCCACTGGACCATCACAAGACCAGTCACAAGACCAGGCACAAGACCATTCACAAGTAGCAGAGTGAATGACAAAGTTATGCTTTTGTTGCAGGTCTTTTGAATAGTTTATAACTTGAATTCAGACTTGAGGGCTTGCGTTGGTCTTGTGGGATCTTGTTGTGTCTTTTGGAATCTTGTGACATCTTGCGGTTGTCTTATGTGGGATCTTGTGTTGGTCTTGTGTGGTTTTGTGGGATCTTGCAGTATCTTTTGGAATCTTGTGGTGGTCTTCAGAGGTCTCAACTGCAGCTGTGCAAACAGGAGCCCTAAGATTTTATTTGCAAGGCTCAAGTAACCTGCTTTCTTGTGATGTATCATTTTACCAGCTGAGAGGGTGCTGCTCCTGGAACTTTTTGCTGTGCTGGTGCAACACAATCTAGCCACTTCAGAATTAAGAGAGTTCCTGCAGCTTTTTCCCACTGGTCAACCATTCATGGTATGTATACTCACTGGCCTTCATCCAGTAATATACAGTGACAGTGACGCCTTGTTTATTATCACCTTTGAGTCGGTATCTTTTGAGTAAAGCAAAGGAAGTGGTATTGGGGTGTTTGATACTTTGCTATTGTCTGACTATTGGATGTATTATTGTTGTATATTAGACTTTGTTAAAAAAAAATGACCCGTTGGCCTTCATCGGTGTATCCACCCCAAGTTGCAGTGCACCCTCACTTGCAAAAAAAGAGACAGACAGGTTGGATGTTTTTCAAATGGGCCTGTGTGTGCGTCCGGTGTGCAGGTGGAGACGTTACGTCACACAAAAAGGATTTCATTACAGAAAACTTCCCTCTGTTTACCTACATTTGCATATCAGTGCGCATGCACGACAAACCTCACTGAAAAAGTCGCCGTGTCCACTGCCTGTCCTTACACAAAAGGCCATGTAGCATGAAGACTTGTCCTAGTCATTTATTTTTTTATGATCTCTGTCCCGTTTGTTCTGTTTTATTTATTTATTTTTTTTAACAGGGAGGGTCGGTAAATAGAGGTTAGTGTTCTCTTACTTGAATGGAAAATCCCCTTTAGATTTTGGGAATGCACATGCTCAGGGTGTCCTGCCTCAAACACACGTGAATCTGTGTGTGCACACGTTGAGTTGACACCAAGGGACTTACATTGTTTTGTTTAATAACACTCTCTTGTTCTTGCTCTGAGTGAATTGGAAAACACCTGCCATTCTGCTGTTTAGTTGATGGCTGACTGGTGTGTTTCATCTTGCTAGGATGAAGATCTGCTGTGCACGCTGCTGACCATCGTTGACAACACGCCTTCCCTGCCCTCCCACATCCTCAGCTTCCCCATCGTCAAGCCCCTCTCCGAGACGCTCATCGGCAGCGAGACCCACTCTAGCAGCAGTACTGCTTCGACAATCACCGATGTCAAAGCTGGCCGACCTGACCAGGCGACACCGCCATCTGCGGCAGAGGCAAAGGAAGACAAGGAACGGCAGTCCGCGTCGGAGCCCGTCCAAGTCCGGCTGGGGGTCAGCCGGTCACCCTGGTACATTGCCCCCGTCCAGCTGCCTGTCCGCACCAACCTGCCCTGGCCCCCAACGGGGAAGGGGTTCTTCATTGCTGCATGGCTAAAGGTGGATGAGCTGAGTATGCTCAGTCGACTCCATGCAGTGCCGGGGTTCAGGAGAAGAAAGAGTGTGCACCGACAGGCCTCAGTGAAGCTGACTGAAGAAGAGATAATGGACCAGGGTAAACTGCACTTAACCACGGGGAAATTTCACCAGAGCTTTTTTCATTCTTAAAACGGGCACTTAAAAGATTTGTCATTTGTTTAGGTTTAGGTATTGTGCCTGAAGAGTTTGAGGGGAGTTTGATAAAAATACATCTTGGAGTTCTTTGGGTTTTAGAAAAAACCCAAACCAAACCTCAAAGTTTTTTTATAATTTTAAACTACTATATTTTTTATATAATTTGACATGATTACTATAAAATGGTGTACACTTTGTACTTTGAAATGTGTCACAAAATGACAGCAAATCAAATTACACTAAAAGCAGGGGTGTGATTTTTCCAGATTTCCAGACTATCCGGAATTTCTGTGAGACTTTCCGGATTTCCGTATTGTCAATGCTTTCAATATGCAACGCAAAGACTACAATATTTTGTGCAAAACTAAGTGAAAGACTTGCACAAGTTAAGGTTTATAGCATGCGCTTTTGCGTCGTTACTCCCCCTGGAAATGCACCAGATACATAGGTAATAGTACATTGAATGGAGGGGGTATCATTGTTAAAACATAAGGACCCAGGCCAGCGGTATGATCGTTGTGTGTATGTACATGTACTGCATGTACTGTACATTTGCTGTGTGTGTGTGCACGGTACACGTGTTGTCGTTGCATGCATTGTGTACAACTTGCGTCCGTCTGCCATTGTGTTTTGTTTCATTCTCGTGGTGGTCTGATGTCGTTGATGTCCGTCAAAAATGTCATACAAGGTAGTTGGTAGGGAAGGGGATCTGAATGTAGACAAAGGATTCAAGAATTCTTGGAAATTTTCCTGGCTGGAAACCGAGGTGGACAGAGAATTAATAAAGGAAAAATCGATATATTATCGTGACTTTCTCGTGAAAATCGACAAACCTGGGTACTGCAAGTGCATGTGGTGTCACAAGTAATGCAACACTCGTCTGTATGAGACAGTTTTCAGTTTTAATAAATTGTGATAGAATTTTGTGGATCACTGATAACTGTGTGGGTGTGTGTATTACATTTCTATGTCTTTGATTGCCACCAGTTACAGCTTACAGAATTGCAATTGAAGTGAATGAGGACAAGGGTTTTGTTGCAGTAAATGTTATAATTGTATCCCTCAAAATAAGAATAGCTCTTGTGGTGGCTTACATGTAGTACCTGAATTCCCTTTTATAATCAAATAGATATGCTGCGAATTGTAGGGAAGCTGTGGCCGACGCGACTTGCAAAACCCTCCGACGAATGTTTCGTGGATTTTTCATTTTCCCCAAATCACACCCCTGTGAAAGGGCTCTTTGCCAAAAGAAAGAGTCAGTCCGTGTGATTGAAAGATGAGTTGTATTCTGTGAAATTTGTACAAAATTGATGCTCCGCATGGAACCCTTCTGAGGTGGACAGTCACTGACTGTTAAGAAATCTTTTGTTCAAGTCTCAACAGAATCCCCACAGTCAATGAACAGCACAGCTGCGATGCGCGTAGTAACGTGTTCCCAAAGAAAAGGCGATTGCAGTCAAAGTGAGGAAGTTGAACCAGTGTTACATTTCACAATTTGGTTGAATGCAGAATTGCTTTATGGGAAGAAGCCTCAACGCAAGGAGTCGATCACACGGCCACCGGCGCTACAACGGGTTGGGCTTCACCTCTTCTCTGTCGGCAACCGGGACTTGATGATGCAGGTGTGGGTGGAAGCCAGGACCTGCAGATTGACCATAAGGTAAAGCCCCCGAATCAGATCAAACTCCAGAGTTAGTCTGTCAACGTCCAACTTGTGCAGAGATTGAGTGGGTTGTTCTTTGAAGGGTGCTGTGTGATGAAATTGTTCCATAGCTGTATATGCACTGAGTCCATTAGACTTCTATGGAATGAAAAGCCGGATTTTGATGGTTTGGGATTGTTTTGGTCAAATCAGTCAAATGTAACAATGAGATGCAAGTTGAAAGCAAACTGTGGTAAAAATAGTGACAGAAAAAAATTAAAGATTAACATCGAGGAAGAAAGAAGTTCGAATCTGGGTAAATTTCCCTAGATTGCAGGAACGATACCAGCAATTGGCAGAGGTGTTTCAGATGGCAGCATACTTTAACAACAGTCCTCAGTCTTTGAACAGTTGAAAGATTAGTCTGTGGCATTCAATCTTTCTTTTTCTCTCCACAGATTAACTCACTTTTTGTCAGGGAATGACCACGTGGTGCTACATGAGAAAACATGCTCTCTCCTGTCTCTGAGTGTCTGGCAGCACCTCACGTTGGGATATGAAGAGAAGGCCGAGGGTTCAACGCGAACTGGAATGGTAAATGTCATTTGAAATTTGGAATTTTAGTTTATTATTTATTGAATTTCATGTTGAAAAGGGGCTGGGATCATTTTTTTGGTTGTTGTTAAAAAGATATACAACTGCCTCGTTTGCCGTTGTCAGGAACAAATGTATTTGAAAAGTTTTGAACTATTGACACCACTGTTGAAACACCACCTAGTCACCTAGTATTTTCCCACAAAGGCTAATTACTGTACTCAGGGTCAACATCCTGCACATATCCACCTTGAGGAGAAGCACCCCCTCATTGGTTGTAAAGAGCCATGTTGATTGGGAGTGATCATTTTGCTGGTAACGACACACTTGTAATGTATGCATTTCTTAGTCGTCCAATCAAAGGAGCCACCATTGCTTGGAAAATGGCGCACTCTATTGGTCCAGCTTGAGGCTTATTATCCTGCAGTCAATTCAGTTTGTACCAAAAAAAAGAGGACATATGGATAAAAGTGCAGTGCCGATCCCTGGGGCAAAAGTAAGTCCATCTTAGATTGTAGATGGCAGCAGAAAAAAAGCGTCTCTGGGTTAATGTCTTGGTTATCTTGTGAATTGTGTGTTACTGCCATGGAGCTTATGTGCGAATTAGATATATCCCGTGTAAATAAAGTAAGAATGCCCCTGGTTGACACATTGTGCCGATACCGTGCACGATATGGGACCAATGGGTACCCACCCCCACATGTCCAATCCCTATACACACTCTAGACTATTGTTACCTAACACATCCCCCCTAGAAATCTGTAAAGAATTCTTGAGATTCCGATCAAACATTGATTAACACAAAGGTGGGGGGGGTTCTCTCCGCCCCATATCTTCCATGATATGGTTGTGCCAGCCAGCAAGTTGGATCAACTCGATTGACGTGGACATGACACAGATGGTGACAATAAAAGAATTTGGTTGTTTGACGTGAAGATTAGCTTTACTGTTGAGTTTTCAATGTACATGCACAGCGTAAACTTACTGACTAAACGTTTCCCTACTACAATATTGATCAAGTTCTTGGAAATCATGAGACTACGTGTTACTTTGACATCATTTGAATGAACCCTACCAGAATGTACATCTTGGCATTGGGGCTTGCTGTCGCCTACTTACATCTCTCTTATTTGCCAGTGAGTGGCATTTTGGGCTTTGAGCAAATCCCTCCCAAAGGTAATCATGGTTTCATCTCTTTTGGGCCCACCAGATTACCGTGATCATAAACGGACAGCTACAGAGGGACTTCCTTGTGGAGTACAACAGTCCTGTCCAGGCCAAATCTGGCCAGTCACCGGTGCCCTACTGCCTGTTGGGACACTGTGTGCAGGAAGGCACAGATACCAACTTGCCTCACGGATCCTGGCAGCTCGGCAACGTCATGCTGTTCAATGGTGAGCTTTCATTGCGGAAAAATTTTCAACAGATTTTGAAACGTGTTGAAATATTCAGTTATCAAAGCGTTTCTTGGCACGTGCCTTTTTTTACACCAGTATCTTATTGATTTTGAGGGTTTTTTTCAATTTTGATCAAGTGTGTGACTTCAGATATGTTTCAGAATGATGTTATCGCAGACTTTATTTGTTACCAACTACATGTAAAAGCTACCTAATGCTTTGCTATACATTTGCATATGTCACTTATTGATTTTGTTGAAAGATGTCTTTTAAAATTATCAGTGCTACATACTTGAATAAATCTGAAGGAAAGTGCCTGGTTTTGGACACCGATATCTATTTGATGTCAATCTTTCAGTGGAGAACAGATGTGATACTGTATAAAATTGTTTTGGTTGGAGTTAGAAATACTTGAAGTTGTTCTTACTTCTGAGCGGTTACATTTGGCCCTGTTTCATTTGAAACAGATGCCCGTGTTTTAAATCAGGAAGTAGCTTTCCACCTGTACAGCATGGGTCCCGACTGTCTGACCGTCAGCCTCTGTGAGGGCAGCAAGCAGGGTCAGCTGTACAGCCAGCACATCACGCAGGACATTCTCCAGTCGGCGATCAGCTGTGAGATAATGTCAGGTGACCGGGAGGTGGAGCTGAGATCTGCCCGGGTGGGTGTCTTCTTCGTAATTGTTCAGGGGGTCGTCCATTTTATTTTTCATCTTTTTCATGAGTATACAAAACGTTGGACAGTGATTAACCGTCTGTGTGTGCTTAAAATAAAATTAGAAAAATGAGGATTGGCTGTCATCTTTCTTTGCGAGATGTTAGAGAAAAAGAGTACTCTTGGGGAGTTTAGGAAAAAAACAAACAAGCTGAATGTTGGAACATTTCCTTCTTTCAGGAGTCGCTGGTGATTACCTACTCACCAGGCAACAAGGACGTCTACTGCCATTATGAGCCGGTGGGCAATTCCAGCGGCCCCTTGGGGCGCGTGCTGGGCGGTTCCTCCAGGAGCTATCCCAACGCTCTCCTGCAGTGCCCTGCCACCCTCGGAGCGGCTCTCCTCTGCACCCTCACCCCCCACTCCCACTGCGGCCTGCTGCAGGCCATCAAGGAGAGCGGGGGAATTGGCGTTTTTGTCTTCCTCTTTGCTAAGGTTGGCAGAAACCCTCGATGGCACTTGTATTGAGTTTGCACTTTTTACTCAGTTTGGCAACTGTGCGATTAATCACCGGGCAATTTCAGGGCTTCTCTATGAACCCAGATATGCCAATGTGTACGATTTAGGCGTAATTTTTACAATATATTTAGTCTGTTTACGATTGTACGATCCAGACTCAAGGAACGGTAAAGTGTTAAGTTTCTTGTATTTACAATTCGTCTGCTTGCCCTCATTTCAAATATTTCACTGTTGGATACAATTTGATACAGTGTTCCCTGATAAAGAACAGATGCTTCCGAAGTCTGTGATTGAATTCTTGGTAAATTTAAAACATGTGTAACAACACTTTGTAAGGAATCTTTCTTGACCCCTTATGAGGTTATTACATCCTAACACTCATGCTGTTCTTTGACACTGTAGCTCTTTGAGATGTGTTTTGACAGTCATAACTAAATAACTGTTGGTTGTCGATCAGTGGTTTAGAGTTTTGATCATTAGTTAAGTGTACAAGCAACTGTGACGTTAGGTTCTTTCAGAGTTTACACTATCAAAACTGTGGTTATTGTTTGTCGTCTTCCTAACAGATCGTTGAGAAGTCCAGCAGCAAGACCGTCCAGGCCAAGGCCCTCAAACTGATCATGAGGTTGCGGTCCTGCAGTCATGCCCTGGCAGCCGAGTTCAACAACATGATGGCTGCCTCCATGATCGCCAAGGTCCTGGTCACCCCCAAGTGCATTGTGGGATTTGAGATGTTGAGGGTAGGTCTCCCGCTGTTGTGTTTGTCACATTGTAGACTTACCTGGCAACGTAGGATTGGAAACCATCACTGGGGTGGTATCGTGCTAGCATGCTGGTTGGACATGCTCTCCCAGTGCCCTCTTTGACTAGTAGGCTGTTGTGATTAGCCCAGATTGAGAGTTTGTGCAATGTGCGCTTGAGTATGGTAGCACCACAATAATGGATTCATCCAGTCTCTGGAGATGAGAATCAGAATCATTAGCCATTTCCGACAAGGTACCGTACCACGGATCACCGATCATGCCTTCCTGAGCGCCGTGTCTTTTCAACGTGCCAAAGTACACCATCTCAGTAATGGCAGCCTGCAAAATGTTAAAATTCTTTTACATAAACTCAGTTGTTTGAACTGGCTCTCGTTCAAGATCCATATGGTTAATGCAAATATCATCAAGCAACAATAAAAGAACTTTACCGTGAAGGGACTTTTCTTGTCCTCAGTTTTAAACACTTCCTTTTACATCGTGTTAAAAATCTTTTCTTGTCTTCATATCTCCAATGAGACTACTTTCAATGTAGTAAAAAAATGAGCTTGTATATGTACGTAATATATATGCTAGAAGTTTCACCGTTGTTCATCCCAGGTCATGCTGGAAGCCTGCCTCACCAAACCTGTCCTGTACCGCTGCTCTCACTCCAACGAGTACCGGCTGCACCGCGACACACAGGCCATCATCCAGGACACCAGTCTGGTCTCCCAGCTCCTGCTGGCCTGGCGCATCTGGGAGAAGGCGGAGGCAGGCGTTCTTCCCATGCTGTTCCGCGTGATGGAGTCGCTGATTCACGCCGACCACCCGTACCAGGCGTTCAACATCACGCAGCTGCTCAGCATCCGTGGTGTCCAACGGCTGCTCATGATCTGCAAGGTGAGCTGGTGAAAAGAAAAAAAGTTCATCCATACATGTACGGGAAGACAGCTTACCGTTTCTTCAACAGTGTAGTTGTAATGATAGGACGCTTCTGTTATTGTGCTTTACTTAATTTGCGTAAGAAAAAATTTTACATCAACGTTTATTGCAGTACTGTAAACAGTTGCTGTGTTGATTTTTAAGTTTAGTGGAATGTCCACATTTCTTTTGTTCTTACAAAAAGTATTCCTAACTTGGAACGACTTTGCATTATTATGATGCTGCTTCTCCGTACTGCCCTTGCAGGGCACTTGGAGGGATGAATTTCTTTAGGATGCATGATCTAATTTCTTTGAGTTATTATTTGATAGAATTTGTTTTTAGAAGTTACTTGGACTATTTTTTTTCAATGTACTTGTGAAGTTTGTGCGTTAAATGTACATGGGTTCAGCAACCCACAATGCTTTGCATTGTCTCCATTTCCTCCCCAAAATTTGTGAAAGGGGTTAGCCCATCCCAGGGATGGGTTTGAGCAAATAATATGACCATTGCTGACCTTTATCTGATTGGCTTGTACCCATTTTATTACCAGGAACGTCACCATGAGGATCTGCCCAGTCTTACCCCGCTGACCTGCTCCTCGGTAGTGTCCATCATCAAGGGCCTGATGGGTCAGCCACCAGACATCAACCTCCTGGCCGAGGTGTGCGACTTCCTGTTGGCCATCCATCCAGCGGTCAACACGTTCGTCTGCCATGCCCAGTCCAGCTTCTACTTCTCCCATCACTCCTGTAAGTTGATTAGTCCATTTAGAAAGCCTTTGGTTGGTTGGCTAACAATGTAGCAATCCAGAGAAATTTTGCCTCCAAGAGTTTTCCCCTGCTGTTTGTTGGAGTAGTTTGTGTTCTTGTTTGATCAAGCAAGGAGACAAGTTTGGGTGTGAACTAGCCAGTTGCTTTTTTACCATGCACATGCACGGATAAGTCACACCCTAGTCAAACTATTTTGTAAATTATTATTGTCACTCATATTTGTGTTGTTGGCTGCAATTGTCACAGTGTTCATGTTCAATGGCATCTCCTACAATTATTTTCATGGGAATAGCTCCCTAAAGAAATCAGCTGTTGATAACCAATGGTGGTCGACCAAATGGTCCAAACCATCCATTGCTCGGGTGACACTGCTCAAAATGTAGCCAACTATTGCCCTCTTCTGAACTTGCCCAAACTGAAACTTGCTTGGTTAAGGTACATGTACTAGTCTTTCATGCACACTTTCTTTGGCCGTTTAGAAATTAAAATAAGCAGTAAATGACTACCAGTTAAACTGGCTAGACCAATGTTGCTGAACTTATTTAGAGACACTTGATCAAATGTGCCCTGCAGTACTTATTTACAACCAGTGAAAGGTGCCGCTCGCTGCTTCAAGTATTGTTCACATTTTCATTTCAGACTTTCAAAAACTGTTTTAATTGATTAGGATTTCAAGTTGTATGCCTTAACTGTTGGTGACAAGATTGTGAAAGGACAGCATAACTTGTCAGTCTGTAACCTTGCTAACACAGAATATTGCTTTGGGGTTCAGAAGGTTTCAAGCAAACAGCCGGTGTGATCATCTGGAGATTTCTTGTTTCCTCTGTCCACAGTGAGAAGAGAAGATGTGAAAATCAATGAGTTTAATGAAATACAAGAGGAAAAATGCGTCTTTTTCCCCAACAGTTGGTTGAGAAATGCTAGAGTGAATGCCGAAAAAAAAAATTCGAGGGTTGAGAATAGGCCCGAGTTTCAAATCTTGGCATTTCACTCAATGCCCACGGCTTAAATTTCCATCGTTCACAGAACATAATATTCTTTAATCTCCAAATTCCAAACCACCACGGTCAATTTGCACCACTTTCGTCATTGTTGAACCCAAGTTTTTTGGGGGGAGCAGTCTGGAAGTAAATTACTTTGCCAGTGTTTTCACCCAATGAATACTTTGTCTTTATCGTTTAGTTGTACAGCAGAAAGCCAAACAGAAACTACTCCAAAAGATGTCGAGTCTTGACGATTCGTCTGACCAGTCTGAGACAAGCTCAGAGACTGCTAAATTCTACCTCCCGTCAGTAGATCTTAGTATCTCAGGTTTGTGAGCACTTCAACGTGTACATCCTAACATTGCATGTGTAATCTTATTGTCTTGGGAAGAATTTAATGTCAACTTTTATAACTGTTCTCTGGGATGAGAAAGTTAACAACTATGTAATGTCTACTTTTTGGAATAAGGTTTATGTCATGGGGGAAATTTTTAGAAACTTATTGAAATGTTCCTAACTTGCCAAGTTTTTTGTACCATTGGATACTAATGATTTCAACCTGCCATTTCCAACCAAGCTTTATCTTCCTGAAAATA